CGGGGCTCCGGTGACCAGTGAGGATGAACTTTTCGGGAGCACTGTCGGCAGGGCGGACAGGGTCAGTTGCTGGAAAGGGGAGAGAGAGAGAGAGAGAGAGAGAGGGGGGGGGGGGGGGGGGGCGAATATCATCTTAGATATCGCAGCAACGATCGATCGGCTCGTTGAAGATACCCTGATCCGGACCAGTCTGGGCGGCCGGGCCACAGTGGAGACGGACACGGGAAAGGGCACTGGCGGCGGCGGCCTGGCAGGCCAGGCGGCCAACGGCCAAGCCGATGACCACCGAAATGAAGAGGCCAGCGTGGTAGGTCATGATCAGGAGCATCACCGCATAGGCCAGAGCGATGGCCGCAGCGAGGAGGAGGAAGTTGCCCACATGCCAGAGGGCAGTGCGCTTCATCGGGGCACGACGTCCATTGCCGGACAGGATGGGCGCCTCGGCGGCCGAATCGTAGTTGAGGACCTTCTCGGAGGAGGGGGACGCGTTGTTGGAAGTGCCAGTGGCAGGGGCACCAGAGCCACCGGCCACGCGGGCCGCCGCCATGGAGGGGCACTTGCTGGTGCTGCCAGAGGGGGTGCTAGCCGAAACAAGGTACCCGCGCAGGGCGACAATGGCCTCAAGCAGGAAGCACAGCACAATGGTGCCGATGCAGGCGCCAATCACGCGAGCCTGGCTGGTCAGGTCCCAGTCGACGAAGAGGAAGCGCACGCAGGTCTGCCCCGGGCCACCAAAGGAGAAGCCGTTCAGCATGACGGTGGCACCGGTGCAGTAAGCCGGAGCCGGGGGGTGGTGCGAGGAGTCGCTGCTGCCAGGCTCACCACCGGCCGGGGCCAGGTACTTGTTCGGGTCCTCGGAGAACATGCGGGCGCAGCCAGCGCTGCAAGTCCACACACTCTGGCCGTTGCGAATCTCAGCACGATGGGCATGGGCATCACGGTGAGCGGGGTCCGGGGCGGTCATGCCGCACACCGGGCAGTGTGCCGGCTCGAGATCCGAATCGAAGGCCTCAGCAGGGCCAGTCGCCTCGCCAACAACAACCAGAGACGGGTCCGCACGCTCGGCCTTGTGGCCCATGCCGCAGAAGAGGGTGCGCTGGCCGTGCTTCCAGAGGACGGGGTTTTCCTCGATGGCATCCATGCCGCACGAGGGGCAGGTGGGCATGCGAGCATCAGCCATGGGGGCCGTCATGAGGAAGGCCCCGAGGACGGTCAGCATGACGGCCAGCAGGGCGAAGAGGGGAAACATGGCCGGGCGGCCGGGGGCGCGCGCGCGGCGTGGCTTGATCATGTTTGGGGTCTGTGTCCGAGGAGGGGGCGCGGTATGTGGATGGTCGGTCAGTCGGCGGGGAGATTACCGAGGTGCGTGTGTGTGTGTGTGTGTGTGTGTGCGGTAGTTGCAGGATCCGCAGCGCACGCACGAACTCTCGGCGGGAGGAGGGAAGCCGGGCGGAGAGGAGGGGGGGATGAGGCAAGAGGAGAGGCAGCTGGCGCGGCACTTTCCAGGGGGGGGGGGAGAGGGTGCTAGCTGTGGAGTGCGGTCCGAAGACAGGGTCCGAGATCTACCTCTCGCCTGTCTCCTGCCTCTCGGGCGAGGGGGCGGCTCGCCTCACCCCCCCCCCCCCCCCCCCCCCCCCCCCCC